ATATATGTAGGATCGGGGTGTGTGGATTGGCTAAAGTAACGTTGCTTTACTGCTTCTTAAAATACAATAAACTTATGCTTATATTATCGGCTACGAAACTAAAGACTCGCTACGGGTACGCTCGACTTTTACTTGCTAGACGCTATCTTGAAGACCGTGAAGGACTGTCCTCGCCCGCGCCCTTGCACCCTCATTTAAACCGTTCATCCTCCTCATTCATACCCTGACTTTCTTCTCCAGTCATGCTCCTTTCTCACGCAACCTCGGTGGGCCAGGCACTTCAACCACTCTGCACGCATCCTTAAACTTCCGCTGGACTCTACCATAAATAATCCTTGCAGTCGATCCTTGCGCACATGGTCACTTTCATTCTAAGTCCAGACACACTCGACATTTCCCAGAGCCACGCTTATTCCATTCCCACATATATATTTAATAAATAATAAATTAACAGTGATAGGGTATGTGAGTAACGACGAAGATACAAATTATTACAACTTAATACAATCCTATTACAACTTATCCTATTACAATTCACAACTAGCAGCAACAACTCTGGCAACTAACAACTCTTCTATTAGAACTCTCTAATCGACAACTCTCCACTGACTTAGCAACTCTATAATCGACAATTCTCAACTCGACAACCCCCTAATCGACAACTCTCTTAACTCAGAACGTCCCTGTCCTTTTATATTCTTCTTTCCACCATGCACACCCTGCACGCGTTTTCCAATGCCTCCCCAACATGACCAAACATAGTCGTGCTAAGGGCCTAACGCATCGTCCAGGGTTTTTCCGGCTGACCTGGCCTTCGAACCCTCGGTGACTTTCGTAAAGCTACGTGTAAGTAGACACGTTGTGCCTTCTTTTCTCGAACGCACTATATTTATCTATTCGATCTATTCTTTTCGCTGTTCCACTGAATACTGTCAGCTAGGGACGTTGGAACTCTCCACGCAGTCAGTTGTTCATGTTACAGAGATAGGAATAGGCGTTGTAGACTAGGCCCATAAGAATAGGGCCTCTTCTTCGTTACGCTCAATGTTTTGGAGGTATCAAGGGGGTATCGCGTCGTTCCCTTGATCTTCTTGGTCGCGTGGTTTGCGCCTGAAATAATTCGTCTTCGCGGTTGTAAGGCGCGAAGATATCACGATGTGGATGGACGGTTCGACGCGACACGGTATCTCGTCGACTTAACGAGGAGATACGAAAATCGTCTCGTGTTAGAAGGGAACTGTGGTCTCTGATGTTTAGAATGGAAGTCGTTAGAAAGAACCGATGTCTTTGAGAGCTCGTACGGAAGTGTCTGTGACCAAGGGCGTTCCCTTGGTTCCCGAATCCGTTACCTTGGAGTGAGGGAAGGTTCCCCCGAAAAACCACGATAGTGGAGGAAACCCTCTCCTCCAAGGTGGGGTACCCGGGGTTCACCCGCGCGCCGGTGACCCCATCGGCCGTTTGTTACCCCTAGCGAAGGCCTGAGGCTTCCAACGTGTGCGGACCACGTGGAGCCCTCAGGCCTATTGTCAGCCAAGTCTTAAGAGCCGTCGCCTAATTTCGTTAAATTAGGGATTTCCAGGATTCTCGTGTTCCGCGACACGAGAAGTCAAAAGAAAAAAGGTACAGCAGTCAAACATGCCGAAGGCATGGAGCGGGAAATTCCGATGCCGAATTGTTCGACCCTAAGACCTGGCTGTTGGAAGACCGTAACGGGTCTTCCTTGTTCCACGATGGAACACTCAAATTTCGGTCCAAGCGTCAGCACTAAGCACGCAACTTCGTCAAGCAATTGGAAAACATGCGATACTACAATAGTAATAATAATTAATATCTAATGTAGTAATACCAGGTTGAGGGACAGTTCTGCGAGTGAGTGTATAGAAGACGTGTGAAAGACGGTCCTGCGTGAGAGTATAGCGAAGTGCGAAGATAGTGCGATTATTAGTCGATAGCCTATTAGCTTATAATGTAGCATCCTACGGTATCGAATCTCTTCGATTTCCAAGAACGCTTATCACGCGTCAAATTAATATTGCGTGACTAGTTGTGATAATAAGAATCCAGAATGTGAGTGGTCAAAAGAGAGTGTTTATTTACAGAAAAGCGTAGAATAGTTATAATGCAGACGTTAACGGAGTACCGTTTCGAACACGCGTTTGTACGTGTAAGTAAGATGTTTCAAGGATCGGTGTCGAAGACGAACAGATTTCTCGAATTTGATCTATGTCGTGTCTCGTCGTGTCCTGTCCGGTATTTTCTCCAGTTTAGTTCTGATTGGGAAAAATAAACGTTAGTGGTAGAAAAGTAAGGAGTTTTAATTGGACAGAGGGTGTGACGGAAGGACCTTTGGCTAAGGAGTAGGAAACTGTCAAGGAGCCGATTTTTGATGGTCAATGACGCGATTTATAAGCGGTGTCCGTTCGTCGCTCGTTGGGTCTGTCACACGTGGGTCCCATCTGTCGCGTCTGGTACTAGTAAAATTCCTAATTTTGCTTTACCTTTATAAGCTTAATCCGCTAGAACGGCGTTGAGGCACATCGAACCTCTGGAATTGCAGTCGCGGTATAAAATATAAAATAAACCGTTAGGTCTGTTAAAAGTGTAGGCCTTAATTATAAAATCATATTCTAAATACGCTCTTCGGGACGGAACATATAACTTTAAGTCTCTTAGCTTGTATATGAATCTATATACCGGAAATTAATAACACCCTTTATTTCCGTGTTTGCCAATCGGAACACATATCTCTACATGTAATAATAATTCTATCACAGTGTCGTGGAACGGAAGGAAGCAAGCCTGGAGCGCAGACCCAACGAGAAGGAATTGGCAGTTCAATAAAAGGAACGTGAAGAATTGTTCGCTTCCTGGAGACGTTGCTTACATATCTGGACATCCAAACGACCTCCAAGTGAACATCGAAGCTCACAGGTTAAGGGACGGTCCCACGTACGGGCACTCGAGAAGAAGCAGGATGAACGAGCAAGAGAGAATGTACATGGAAGATGTCGAGGAGCAAAAGGCCAGAGGCTATCGCACTGCCGAATTGGACTCTCTGCAACGACACGAAATGGACAGGGGTTCGGATCTGCAACACCAAGCTTATAGGCAAAGGTAGGTAAGCTGTCATGTCCATTCATGTTCATTCGAGTGTCATGTATCATTCAAGCTAGAGAGAGATAATGGAGAGAAAATGATATGATATGGTAATTAATATTTTTGGCAAGATTTTGTATAATTTGAAATTGAATTAGGGTACTATTTGGATGCGTAACCTTTCATGGCTGTAGATAAATTTTTCCAAATTAGTATTATCATTTGGTGATAACTGGTAATAAGTAAAGGATATCAGTATCATAATATAATATATTTCCAATTTGGAAATTTTTATTCCAAATTTACGTCCAAATTTTTGGAAGAACCTACTTTCTCTCCTGCTTAATAATAATAATATTATTGTGTCTCTTCTTAGAATTAAAAATTACTAAATTGGAGTTCACGTAAATTTCAAAATTAAATTAGGGTACTATTTTGATGTGTAACTCTTCATGACTGTATATACATTTTTCCAAATTAGTATTATCATTTGGTGATACGTGATAATTAATAAGGGGTATCAATGATATATATCCAATTTGAAAATTTTTGTTTTCGTATTTCTCATTAGATCAACTATGCATCATGAAACTATTCTTGACAGATCAATATGAGATTTTTCAGCTTCATATAAAGATTCAAATTTTTGGAAGAACTTATTTTCTCTCCTGCTTAATAAGTGATATTAATAGTAATATTATCGTGTCTCTTCTTAGAATTAAAAATTACAAATTGAAATTCACATGAATTTCAAAATTACTTTATTACAGAAAGAGTAACAACAATTTGAAATTACTTTTAAATTATTCAAATCGCATTCTTCCAATCACGAACTCCATATCTCCTTTCAACTAACCCAGCTCATATTAGAATCCCAAAACAGTATCATTCGCCCTACAATTCAGTAATTACCCTTATAATGTACATTTTCCTGAACTGGATGTCTAAATCTACAAACCTTCAAAGTTTCAACTAAATCAATGACCCAAAGCACTTTCACTGTCCTTGTTAGAAGTAAGACCACACACCCCATTAGCCCCACTATCGATCTTAACGCTTTATCGACCGATAGCCCATTAATCGGCTTTTTAGCTTACCCACAGCCTATTAATCGGCTGCCATGGCAAACAATAATTTATTATTTAATATTGAGGTACAACTGAGGTGATAGGGAGGATCTGAGACCGAGTGGCCAATAGGACGCGTGTATAATGATGAACTGCTACCGGTCGGTAAAGTGTTAACCCTTTGCACTCGACGATCTTTAGGCCAAAGAAGGATAGCAGTTCAAAGATTATCTGCTACAAAGCTGACAATATTTTTCTGGGTAATAAATAAGAAATCGTATGACAATTAACACGTAGCATTATTTAATTTCGATACCTCGCACACCGTTACATTATCTGAAATTCGACATATTTATGAATATCGAGCTTCGAAATTTTAGAAATTGGTGACTGAAGGGCGCCTCTCGGGTACAAAGGGTTAATCCTTTCGCTACGACAGGTCTCGTCCTTCCCGTAGAATGGCACGCCGTGTCAAAGATGGAAGCATTACATGCGTGCAGTCTTTAGCATTTGGGATCAAGTCTTTCGAAAGAAAGAAAAACCAACTATCGTAATAACGCTTGTAATTCTTTGCGAAGAAAGCTAAACGAGACGATAGCACTTGTCTCAATTTTTGTGGCCGATGACTATAGTCACCTATCGTGTACGAGTGGCGTCTCATGACCGGTGACTATAGTCACCCGCAGTGGCGAAAGGGTTAAACACTATCCCTGTACCTTCGTCATTCACAGCTCGCAATAGCACAATACCTCAACACGTTCTCACGTACATTCTAACAAACGATGATCCCAGATTCATGGAGCCTGACATGAACGAGGAAACAACGATCAGAGAACAGCACTTCTACCGCGAAGGAAACGCCGAGGTGCTGCGCCTGGTAACTCGAGGACAAGTCGAAGACACGAGTCACCCGCACCAACTGCACCACCACCGTCCCACAACCCTAATCGTAGACGGTAAGGACATAATTCTGCAAAGGTTCATAGAGGACCAGAAGTCAAGGCACGAGTTGTCGATGCAGGACATCGAAGCTGCTCGTAGCATGGAATCTCATCAGCGACCCAAAGAGCTCTGCCAGCAACAGCAGCAACCAGAGATAATCCTCATACCAGACAGACTGGACCTTGGGCACAGGCAGCACATAGAAGAAATAGGCCCCACAGTGCAGAGGCTCGTGATCGATCACGGTGACTATGACTCCCAAAAAATGGAGAAAGAGTCTCTGAGACAAGAGAAGCAAGACTCTCCTGGAGCTCCGATCGCTGAGAGACCACCAGTCATAGCCAAGGATCAAGTTCAGCCCAGTAATGCTCAGTATGGCTACCACGACCTGGAACTAGCTAGACAGAACGCTCTGCTGACACGACTGCTGCTGGAAAGAGAGAATCGTCGAGCAGGGGCAGGAGCAATGGACTCCACGAGCTACTTAGAGACCCAGAGCCTACCTGGGCAGGTAGCCATCGCTACTCAAACAGACAGAACAGCTGCTACTCAAACTGAACGTCAAGTGAAGAGCAGGAGTGACAACGACGAGTCCGACGAAGAGTCCAGGTACAGGAAGAAGCTGAAATCTAGGAAGAAATATGGGGATGGGGATTGGAAACGCTCTCGGACACTTTGGATGAAGTCTCCCATCGAGGAAGAAGGTAGTCCCTGCTTCGACAAGAGACTTAGCATCCTGAGGAAAAAGGTGAGGGAAGTGAAAGAAGGCAGGAAGGTTTCTCTAGAACCCGAGGTGCTTCGAGAGATCTCTGACTCTCTGGATGGCAACGGGAGTTCGTACAAAGGAGAAGAGGACGAGACCATGAGAAGCTACCGCAAGTCAACCGAGCAGACGAGCATCAGCTACAAGATCTTAAACGAGAAGGAGACTGGCTCTCAGTCTTCCGAGGAGACACGGAAGGAGGATCACAAAACGAACGTGACGGAGTCCACTTCGTCGCCAGAAATAAAACTTCAACGGGAGAAGCACGGCCATGGGAAGGCCGACGAGAAGAGCCCGAAGAGGGAGAAGTCGAAGGTCCAGCAGAAGTCCGAGGGCGTGATGAAGCCCAGTTTCAGGATCCTCGAGAAGGAATTCACGATGCTCACGAAGAAGCTGAGCAAACTGGGTGACAAGAAGTTCCGGGAGAGCACTGGTAGCGACAGCACAAGTCAAGAGAAGTCTGACTCGAAGGAGACGAAGAAGGACCTGGATCAGAGAAGTTCGAAGAAAGTGGATACCACGAGTTCTCAGAAACAGACGAGCGAGAGTGGCCAGACTGCCTCGAAGGTCGATCAAAAAGGGAAACAGAGGAAGGAGTCAGCTATAGCCAAAACGAAACAGAAGCTGAAGTACCAGCAGACCCAGGTGATGAGCACAGGCAGCTCGGAGTTCGACGATGCTCTGGACAAACCCAAGAAACTGAACGTACCTCGGCACGATATTCTGAAGCCGAAACAGTCACTTGGCACCCACTCTAAATTGAAACGACTGAGTCAAATCGATCGACGAGAGGCTAAGAAGCAGACAGCCGAGAGTCGAGACGAGGAAGCTGAGAAACGAAAAGACGGTTCTTCATCGCAGAAGGCTGAGACCAAGTCTGAGAAGACTGGTAAGGTGATTAAAGCTTCGAAAATGACTGCCCTTCCTCGCAAACAAAACGTATCCGAGGAAACGAGTACCAGTACAGAGGACAGGAAAGAAGAGAGAGCTGCGTGCACCCTAAGAGCGTTTGACAAGAAGAGCAGCACGTGGAAAGAGTCTGACGGAATGCAGCAGCACGAAGGAGACAGGTTTGCCAAGAAAATAATTCAGAAGTTCAGTGACGACTTCGTTGAGGAACCTAGGAATGAGAATGTACAGCCAAAAGCAGTGAATTCTGTGGGGAAGGAACGAGACGTGGGACGCAAAAAGGAAGAAAAACCAAAAGTTGTCGTTGACAAGGAATCTGGCAAAGTGGACACGGTTCCACTGTCAAAAAATGGGATAGCAAAAATCCAGGGCTCGCTTGACAAGCCTGGAAAGTCTGACGAGCATGCGACTGCCAAGAAAGCGATGGAGGATTCCAAGACACCTCTGCACGTTACTGAGCAGCTGATTACGGACTTCACTGTTATTCATAAGAGTCCAGCTAAGAAGGAAGAAACCAGTAAAACGATACCAGATCAGGAAATTAATATTCCTGGACCTTCTAAAATAGAATCCATGACAATGAAGGAACCGATGAAGTATAAAGAAGAGAGTGTGAAAAATGGTAATGGGATTGAAGCCACTGAAACTACACAAGCAGACAGACTGATGAGTGGAACCTGGAAAGGCTTAGCTCAACATGTTCAGGATAAATTGGACAGTTATATGGAGAAGATGAAATCAGTGGGTGATTCTGAGAAACAAATTGAAGCTAAAACTGAAGTTGAGGTACAGGAACAGAGTTTAGAAGATAAAGAAGCAGCTAATAGAGGTAAGGACTCGAAGGAAATGAAGAAAATAGAAGAAATTCCTGAAGATTTCGAGAAGAAGAGTGTATTGGAGGAATCTAAAGAGGAAGAAGAAGAAGAAGATAGAGTGGAAGAAATTTTTAAAGGAAAGAAGGAAATGGATGTACCCTTAGGTTATATTAGTACGGAGGAGAAGGTGAAAGAGGATATTGAAGAGGAAAGTCACTCAAGCCGAGATACACCAGGGAAATTAGAAGTAAAAGTAGAAGTACACACACCTATGAGAGAACACGATGGTAAAATAAATGGAATGAAAGACATTGAAGAAACAGCTAAAAACAATATACAAAATAATAAACAAATACCAGGTAATCATAAAAATGGTAAAAATGGTAATAATGGTAATAATGGTAAAAATGGTAATAATGGTAAAAATGGTAATAATGGTAATAATGGTAAAAATGGTAATAATGGTAAAAATGGTAAAAATGGTAAAGAAGAAGCATCGATAATTGAACCAAATGGAGACAAAAAAAGAGACCAAGTGGATGAAACTATTCAAGAAAAGGAAAAAGAAGTTGAACATGTGGATACATTAACTCCAGTTCTTATTGTTGAAGATGAAAAAAAAGATTCGACAAAAATTGCAATTAATGGTTATGAAAAAAAAAAAATTGATTTGGACACCATGAAAATTGCATCCAAGGAAGAGGTCATATCAAAAGTTGAAACTGACGTAGCAATAATCGAAGAAAATATTTTTTTAGACGAAAAGAAAGATGATAAAGGAGAGGTAAAACAGACGAAACCTCACGATCAGATTGAAAAGGATATATTGGTAGATGAGGAAACGAAAATCAGAGATGAGGAGAAGGATACTATGAAAGGTTTAACTAAGCATTTTGAAATTGGAGAAAAAGTAATGGAAGAACGGGAAATTGTTAAAGAAAAATTTGAAGATGAAGAAATCGATAAGGAAAAAGCGATGGATGACAAAATTATTGGGGAAACAATTGTAGAGCATAAAACTGAGGAAAGCGTAATTAAAGATGAAAATATTGATAAAGAAGTAATGGAGGATGATAAAATTCCTAAAGGAACAATTATAGAACTCAAAATTCCTGAAGAACCAACTGAGGACCAAGAAATTGATAAAGAAATAATAGAGGATCGTCGAATTATTAAAGAAACTATAGTAGACGATAAAATTGCTGAAGAAACGATTGAAGAAACAAAAATTGATACAGAAATGAAAGAAGACTATAAAATTATAGGAGAAACCACTGTGGATGATAAAATGATTGAAAAGAAACCTGAGGATCAAAAAATTGGTGGCGAAGAGGTAAAGGATCATAAAATAGCTGAAGAATCAGGTATGGATCAGAAAATTATTGAAACAATTGAAAATATCGAAGTTGATAAAGAAACAATGAAAGATCACAAAATTACAGAAGGAAAAACTGAAGATCAGAAATCAGATAAAGAAGCAACAGGAGATGAAATTACTGAAAAGTCAAGTGTTGATCATAAAATTACTAAAATTGAAGAAGCAATTAAAGGTGAAGAAATCGATAAAGAAACGATGCAAGATCATAAAATTGATGATGAACCAATTATGGATCAAACAGTTCCTGAAGAAACAACCGATAAAAAGAAAGTTGACAAAGAAACAACACAGGAATATGAAACTGCTAGAAAACCAACTGTAGAATATGAAGACACTGAAGAAATAATTAAAGACAAGAAAGTCGATGAAGAAACAATTAAGGATTTTAAAATCGTTGCAGAAGAAACCACACATCCTAAAATAGATATATCTGAGGACACAATTGTTATAGAAGCTGACGATTATCACAAAACCCTAACAAAAATTGATGATATAATTCCCAAAGAAGCAATATCAGATGAAGAAAAAAAAACTTTGACAAAAATTGGTGATGACAAAGAAGAAAGTATTTTTTTAGAAGAAGGAAAAAGTTCTGAAGAAGGAACAATAGCAACAGAAATTAAAACTGAAGATCATGAAATAAGCAAAGAAAAGATTTCTCTCGATGAAGAAGTAAAAATTGCAGAAATTATAGAAGATGATCAAAATCGAGACACACAAAGTATTACTGACATTCTTGTCAAGGAAACTCTGACTAAGGAGGAAGAAGCAACAGAACAAGCTTCAAGTGACGACTACAAAATTGAAGAGAGGGAACATATTTCTTCAGACAGTGAGAAAGAAGCACATCCTGAAAAAGGAGAAGAAACTGTTGAAGAAAAGAGCAAAACTGAAGACCATTCGCTGAAAGAACAAGAAGATACTAGTAAAGATAAAGAAAAGGAAAAACATCACGATGAACAAATAGAAATTCCAAAAACTACTGATCCTCAAATTAAAGAAGAAATTATTGAAGAAATTGCTAAAGAAGCAATTGAAGACTACGAAATAACTGAGAAAATAATTACAGAAAGTGACAAAATTGATCATCAAGATAGTAAAAAAGAAACCGACGAAATACAGCCAATTGACAATTACGAAATCACCGAAAAAGAAGTTCAAGAAGCACAAGAAAGTATCGAGAAGGAACTTGTTCCAGAAACTTCACCAATTGAACAGGAACTTACTATAGGAAGTACGAAGGATATCTCACAAATCCAGGAACGTCTCGAAGATAAAGAAGCTTTCACAGAAATACCTGACGTTCCCAAAGCCGAGAAAGTCGTCGAAGAAAAAGACGACTCTCTAAAAACATCACCCACCAAAGAAGAAAATATCGAAAAACCAGAAGTCCCAACAGAAATTCCTATTTCCACCAGCGAAGATATAAAACAGGATACACCAAAAGAACCACCTAAACCTGATGACCACGTGAGCAAAAAGGAGAGTATATTCTCAGAAGTGTTTAAAGTTGTTCATAACTTTGTCGACAAATTCACCAATAACAAAGATACTTCTGCAGAAGAAACTCCAATTACGAAACAATCACATCCAGACACTAAAATCGATGATAAAGAAATACCTTCCCTACCCTCTGATGATAAAGACAAGAAACAGGCAGAAGTCCCCAGTATTAGTATACCATCGATTTCCCAAGCAGGTGATTCTACAAGCTCAGAAGACCAAAAGAAAGAAGACACGTCCAAAGACATAGCTCTAAATCAACCAAATATTAAAACAGCAATTGTACCAAAAGAAGCGACAGAGGAGACCCTAGAAACTGATACATCTCAAGAACCAAAGGAAGCAGAACCTGGCAAAGTCGACCAGGACCTGGGCAAAGCTTCGAAAGACGAAATAAGAGAATTAGCATCAGAATCACCCATCGAAACGTCAGCCATAGTCGAATCTTTGGAACCAGTTCACGAACAAGATTCACCAAAGAAGGCAAGAGACGAGAAAGAGGCAGAGATAAAGGATAGTGAGGATGTCTCTGGGGAATTATTCGAAGGGAGAGCCGAAGCGAGCATGGAACCAGAGAAAGTTGCGGATAATGAGACGGTGGATGGCGAACTAGCACGAACTATCGAGAAGGAGGAGCAGTTGCACGAACCGTCAAGTAAAGCGAGCGCCAGTTTTCAGAGGACCGAATTGCCTGGAAGTTGCCCGCAGACGTACGGGCCGACAGAGAAAGAAAAGTTTGCGTTTGATTCCATTATATCGGGAACTCCAACAAATTCCGCGAAAATATCCGAATTCGAGAAGCAGTCGGAGTCTGAGCGCGAGCAAACCGTGTTACCAGAAGTGGAGCAATTGGTGGAAGAAGAAAGTTCCAGCGCGATGGGGGACGAAATTCGGACGAAGCCAACATTTCCACTGGACCAGCCGAACGTGGAACCAGAAGCACCTACGAAGGTTCCTCGAGAAGAGTCAGGAAAGCAAGATGCAACGGAGAAAATGGATAGGACTTGGCCTCTGGTGGAAGTCGTAGCCAGAGAAGAGATGAGACAGGAGCCTGTTGGGGAAGGATACGTAGACGTAAGCCTGCCACTTTTTACGAGCATGATAGATACAGTGGATGATTCTGAAGATAGTGATTCATCGAGTGATATTTCTAGGAAGACAACGTTAACCACCAGACCGTATCAGACACCGCGACATAGAGCTCGACAGTTGTCAGAGAAAGAGACTAGTCAAGCGAAAGAGACGACTGAGGTGTTGGATATCGAGGACGAGGAAAGAGGGACGTTAACGATCGAACTGATTGAGGATGACAACGTGGAATCTTCGAAGGAGGATAAAATACGAGAAATAGAACAAGCTTCTTCGTCAGAGTTAGCCAAAACAGAGGAAAAACAGAAACCTGAGTCTAGCCAAGAGACTATGAACATAGGAATAGTTCCAGTTCCTTCCAGTCACAATATAGAAAATAGACAAGAACCCAAGAAAGTAGAACGTGAGCAAAGCTCAGAAGAGTTATCCACAATTGCAAAACATACACAGGACACTAAATTAGACCCCAAAAAGAAAGACCAAGCCAAGACATCTGGAGCTCCATCCAATGCACCATCAGTTTCCAAACTGGCAAAAACAGAGACTTTCAAAGTGGCGGATAAAAGAACGAAGGATTTAGAGAGGAAAAGAATGTCCATTCAGAGGAAGAAAAAGAGTTCCTCTGAGGAATCATCCGAGGAAAAGGCAGCTTACATGGTGCACCGCACGCGCAAGAAGCCTCTAGAGGAGCAAGCCAAGCAGAAAGACAGCGATCAGGCGAAGCAATCGAGACACAAAGACGAAGAGTCGCGACGAAAGCAATCGCTGTTTAAATCGAGAGCAGAGAAAGACAAGAAGTCATCCAGCAGTGGCGAGAAGTATCCGACTCCCCCCAAGACAGGCGAGATCGACACGAGCAAGACGCAACCGAAGTACATGGCATGGTACAAGAAGAATCGAGAAGAAATGGAGAGGAAGAGAGCAGAATTGATGGCGACTGACGACGAAGAGCAGCTACCAAAATGGCTACGAAGGAGTATGAGGAGTCAGAAGAGCGAGAAGGAGGAGAAGAAGCAGTCGAGTGAGAAGCCTGCCGAATTGACTCCACGAACGAGACGCAAAGTGAAGCCTCTGGTGAATGTAGAGTCCGAGCAATTGAAGGCTATAGTTCGTCAGGGCAGGAAATTAAGAAAAGCGGAAGGAGGCAAGAACGAAGATCCACCGATTCAAATATTCGCGACTACACCGCCATCTGTATCTCAGACAGACTCCAAACATCACTTGGTGCAACACTCCGAGTACAAGTACGAGAAGATACCTGCCCCGTTCTATCTCCATCCGCCACCTGCTCCTCATCCTTCGCCACAACTGTCTCCAGAGCATTTCGACATACCTTCAGCGATAGAAAGAGAACACACCGAGGAGGATTTCGATCCTGGGATACCGATGTCGGTGCAGAGTGGCAACAGGTTGCGACACCAGCAATTACTGGAGAAGAAGAGCGTGTTCGACATCGCGTACAGCGAAGCAGCGCCATCTCAGCTGCGATCCGACAGTACTACGCCGCCATCTTGAATCCGCAATAAACTTAACGCCGATCCGTAGACAGACGTTTTCCTCTGTTCTCTAATCATTTTTCAATTACTTGTCAAGGACGGATATCGTTAGATTTTCTTTCCCGTGTTTTAGGTTTTAGACGAAGATGAATTTTTGTAGAGTTAATCAGTTGTTGATAGTTGTTATCGCGTTCGACGAGTGCCGCCCGTGATAACCGCTTTCGTACCCGGTGAGTGCCGCGAACCGACACGACTGGAACGCTACTCAGTGATTAGTGCGATTGTTTCCCTGTGATTGAACCCCCGTTCCCCACTCAAATGCTTATACCTTGTCGTGGTGAGGGGGCTCGATTACGCAATCGATAAATAAGCTATTTCCTGATTTCCATACACGCGTTCCCACTTCCGACCGTATATCTTATATCCCCTCACCTCGACAAGACATAAACACTTGAGGGGGGCACGGGGGTGCAATCACAGGAAAACAATCGCAGTAATCATTGAGTAGCGTTCCAGTCGTGTCGGTTCGCGGCACTCGCCCGGTACCAAAGCGGTTATCACGGGCGGCACTCGTTGAACGCGATAACAATAGCAGATATTGATATATGGAATATGTGGAACGAAAGTGTACAGGATGTGCCGAAGGAAGATTAACATTTTTTAGTTTTCTTGTTCTGAAAGGGGTAAAGGATAAATGAATTGAATTGAAGGGATTGAAATTACGCACAAAATGCAGGGTTAATTGTAACGTGGAGTAGATTTCAAAAATTGTTACGAAGAGGATAAGTATAGATGTCACGTTTTAGGATTTACACTTTGGTAGAGAATAATGTACGAGTATAAATGGAATTGGGAAAAGTATTTCGTTAGATTGAAAATGATGAATATACAGTGACTCATGAAAATATTCGGACACTGAGGTATGCCTGAATTAATCACTTAGTATCGCAGATACTTATACACGGATCGTGTTCGTTATTTATTCTGGGGATAAGATGTTTATTTAAGTTAACAAAGCCATGTGTTTTATTTAATAAATTTATATGGATTTACTATAACAAATTATAAATAAAATAATACCCTATTTTTACGTCACAAAGATATTCGGACACTTGGCATAAATAACATTATATAACCCTAATTTATTTATATAAACACATTTTTTAATATTTTGTCGCATAGCCTCTTTGTTTCAATACGTGTCTCAATCTGTTGGGCATATTATAAATGATTTTTTCCAAATAATTCGTACCGATAGCAGCTCACTCTTCCAGCAATCTTTGTTTTAGTTCCTCTTTTGAGTTAATTGCTGTCTTTCGTATTCTGCGATCTAACTTATCCATAAATTTTCAATGGGGTTGAGATCCGGCGATTGTGGTGGAGGATGAAGAACTTTCGAGCAAGGATAAAACAAGAATTCTTGAACAATGCGTGCTTTATGTTTGGGGTCGTTATCCTGATAAAACTTAAAATTGTTGCGAATTCCCATTTTTTCTGCGCTATTTAATAAATTATTTTTCAGTAAGTGTAAGTGACAGTTTTTGTCCATGATGGTGTCAATAAAAACTAAATTGCCAATTCCTCTGATCGAAATACAGCCCCAAACCATCAAGCTGCCTCCACCGTGTTTTACGGTATCTCTCGTGTTTCGATGGTGGAACTCTTCGTTCGCTTTCCGCCACGCCATTCTTTTCCATCCGAATTATGGATGTTAATGGAATATGAGTTCATCCCGAAACAATTCGGAGAAATTTTAAGCAACACGAGTACAACTTATCTGCGATTTGATGTGATTAATTCAGACATGGCTTTGTGTCCGAATATTTTCGTGAGTCACTGTATATGCATATTTTCTACAAACGCAGAGGAAACTGATAGAGTGAGAAGCATAAACTTGAATATTAATCCATATTGATTGTTATTAAAAAAATTAAAATAATTTTATGACAGTAAGCTCATCCAACTAGACCCTTGGAATAAAGAATTTCATTAATTATCGTTAATTATATAATTATACAAAGATTGATATTTTCTTGGTAGAAAAATAATTTTGTTTTGCTTCTTTTCCATCTCTAATTAAATAACCTAAATAAAACGTAAATCATCATTACATTCAAAATGTTTATTATCAAGATATAGAGCGAAGTCAGCGCTTTCGAACGACACATAACATAACCACGTTTACAATTTATTCCAATATCAAGCTACAAAAATCGAAAATACAAAAAACGAAATTATTTTTTTACCAACATAATAATTGCATAACACAGGTGTAACCTTGAAATAGATCGTAATAAAACTCATTTTATACTATCGTTTAAAATTCTCGAATTAGCTCTAAATAAACTAGGAAGCTTAATTTATTGAAAATTGAATAATATAACAATATTGCATTTTACACAAATTTATACATATTTACATATTTTGCAGTACTCTGTCAGTTTCCGGTTTCATTAGAAAGTTAACTTTCTTATATTTTTACAGAGACAGATATCATTTATAAAGTCCATAATTTCGAAGAACAATTTTGTTAATGCTATTGCCGTCCAAAGAAATAAATAGCACATCGACTCGATGACCAATTTTATATTATGACTGTTATTTCAATAATATGATGTTTATAATTATCTTGTAAATAAATACATACATATGTATAAAATCCTGTGTATCATTTCATGGTAAATTCACTATGCATTATCCTTGCAAAAATCCTGAATTTGTAAACAATTATTAATTCTTAAGAATTTGAATTTTTCTTAAAATTAAAATTTAATTCCAAAATTTTCGTTAACCTTTTGAACTTGTAATTTAAAGAAAGAGGATCCTCATAGCATATTTCAAAAACTATTTTAAAAGTATATTTACAAAATATAAAATATATTTAAAAAGTATTTTACCAAAGAACTAATAGACGAAAAGGAATTGTAAAATTTGTTAATTGAAATATGCATAAATTATTATAATATTTCTATATTCCTGATAAACTTTCTTTGCTCTTTTTTGTTCAATTTAATTATATAATAACAGGTACGTACATTACATAATATGTATATTACATATTATTCACCATACAAAATTATATTCATAATGTCATGTATTACAATAATTACTTACGTTATATTGATTTATACAGGGTGTCCCAGTAACGTTAGTATAACCGGGAAATGGGTGATTCTACATGAAAAATAAAATCGAAAATAAGGAATAAAATTTTTTCATTCCAAGCTTCGTTATCGAGAAAATCGACTTTAAATGTTCACCGAGTACGCGTGCACTTAGCTATGACTCAATTGTATGGATCATGAATACATCGGCATGGGTGGTACACAACTGAGGAGGGGATGATTCTACATGGAAAAACAAATCGAAAATGAAGAATAAAATTTTTTCATTCGAAGCTTCGTTATCGAGAAAATCGACTTTGAATTTCCACTGAAAAGTTTGAATAGATATTCAAAGTCGATTTTCTCGATAACGGAGCTTCGAATGAAAAAATTTTATTCTTCATTTTCGATTTGTTTTTCCATGTAGAATCATCCCCTCCTCAGTTGCGCACCACCCATGCCGATATATCGATGATCCAATACAGCTGAGCCATAGCTAAGTGCACACGTACTCGGTGAACATTTAAAGTCGATTTTCTGGATAACGAAGTTTCGAATGAAAAATTTTTATTCTTTATTTTCGATTTATTTTATCAAGTAGAATCACCTATTTTTGCGATTGTACTATCGTTGCTGGGGCACTCTGTATATTAATATACTTTGTACTATATTATATATCTGCTTCTAATCAAATAGTTTAATGCTATACTATATGATTTATTTATATATTTATAGCATGGTATTTAATATTTGTGTATTATTATATCATTCACTACTATATATATTTGTATACTGCACACTAGTGTATAGTTTTGTACTCTACTATTTATCTTTAACTGCTATGGAGCTTTATACTTATACCATTATATTATGTTATGCAGTATTTTATAATTTTTTATTATTTTATATAATACTATAATAATATACGTTATATATTAAAGTATAACCAGACTTCTATTAACATTTATTTATGCCAAGATTAATATTCCTTAAATTATTCGTTAAATTATTGAAATCATCATAAACGATCGTCAGTTTTGTTTTCGATTTATATAATCGTATAATGTATATAACGATAATTATGTTCGCGATAAGTGGATCGAGACGAACTTCTTTCGTTCCTGATATTCTGTTACAAAAATATCCTTGCTTCCGACATTACCAACTCTGCTAACTTTTGCCGACTAGTCTTATCTGCATCCGATGCACCTGATACGGAAGTTCAAGAGATAAAGAGGTTATCAGCATCGATTAAATTGTACTGTAATAACGAAATTATTTTTCTTTTCGATACAATTAATTGGAACCTTAAATAATTTTTAATCTAATTTAATTTTTTATTTAAATATAGTATAAGTAATAATATCATCCTATTAATATTAATGTGACACTATCTGAAAATATTGTTTCTTATAATAAAATGGAATAAAACATAATTTTCAAAAAAATTCATTAGACACAATGGTGAGAAAATCACAGCAGGTATAATAGAGACAGTCGATATTGAAATTTTTATAGAAAAAATTTGAAATTAAAAATATATGTATGTTAATAAAATTAAATACCTGAGATTTTTCGAATACTTGCTTCTATCTATAATAGAAGTCCGCAAAGAAATTCATGACAATAAATTTTATCATTAATTGATAAAAAGAAAAATGTAACATGAAAAAAATGGTCCGTGCAAAACAAATATTTAAATCATTAAAAATATATATCGTTCTTAATTATCATGATTGTAAGAGAGAATATTTTTTAAAACAATAGTAAGCAATGAAATCTGTGATATGAAGACTATAGCATGTTTATAATTATACACCAAAAAATTTATATTAAATAACACTAATTTTCCTCGTTTCTACAAATAAATTGCTACTTTTATTATTACTATACTATACTAAATTGCATTTTCTAT